TAAACCCTAAACCCTAAACCCTAAACCCTAAACCCTAAACCCTAAACCCTAAGTAGTTGTAGTATAATAGGCTCCGATAGGTATATATATAATTATAGCACCCGGAGATAGAATAGGGTTTATAGTACGATATACTCCGGCAGGTATATCGGTTATTATAGTATACGGAGCGATAGTATTAATTATAGCTATATATAATCTTATAATATAATAAGCTTCGATAGGTATACGGGTTATTATAGTACTAGGGGCTATAGTAGATATTATAGTACTAAGGGTAATATAAGATATCTAAGTTAATTAAGCCTATAGAGAGACTAGTATACCTATACGGGCTTTAGGTATAATATTATCGATATAAGTAGTAGGATAATATAGGCGAAGATAACGAGTAACGTATATAGTGCGTATAGTGTAAATAGGCTATAAGGTTACAGAAGGGCGAAGAGCATCGGTTATTTATTGTCTTCTCTATATACTGTAGGCTACGTAAGTTAGGGTAGACCGTAGTATAACTAGGTAACTAGCAGAACCTAGAGAGCCCAAGTTTAGTATATAATAAGCCCAGTAGTCCCTACAGAATACTATTATTATGCAAGGATGCTGTGGTGACTTATAGGCTTAATTTGTGGTAGTTTAGCCCAGGAGGCCCTAGGCTAGCCTGGGCTTCCTGGGCAGGGCTGGCAGTTTTGCTGATGTTAATAATCTTTAATTAATATTTTCTCTTCTCTCTACTATTATTCGATTAGTCTAAATTTAAGATAGCTTATTATTATTCTAATCTCGACTATTTCTAAACTCTTACTTTCTACTATAATCTCGTAGTCGCTTAAGAGAAGGCCGATAAAGTAACTAATCTCTACGATCGAGAATATATCTTTAATACGACGACTAGTATTTAAGACGTTATATCTAAAAGTAGCGTACTTATTATAAAAGCTAGAATAAAGGCTATTATTACTATTAGTATAGAGACCGGCTCTAAATTACTTTATTAAGTCCGTTAGAGAGTTCGTAATATATAATAGCTAAATATTATCTTCGTTATAGAAGAGTACTTACCCTTAAATCTCTATATAATATTATTAATATAGTCTATTACTATATATCTATTGAGTAAGAGTCTACTACTAGACGAGGTAGTAGATAAGGTTATAAAGAATTATAAGATAAATATAGTAAACGCTTCTACTAAATAGCTATAGTATTATCTATAGTTAATATACTTAGTAGATTTTTAGAGTATATTATAGATATCTAGTTAGTAGATACTAACTAGAGTAATAATAATATATTAGCTACGATCTCTTAGGATTTATATATTAATTTTAGAGTATAAATTATTTAATATATAGATTATGGAGATTAAATAATTATTTAATATATAGATTATAGTAATT